AGGGAGGCGACGTCATGCGCGGATTTATCGCTCGGCAACGCCGATCGCTTTCCATCGCCGGAATATAGTTTCCCGTTCTCACCGTTGAATCCAATCGGAATACAATATTTGTAAAGCAATATATGTACCGGTTAGTTTTCAGCAATCTCGATTCGACAAGTACAGCGTGGTTATGAACGAATGACCTCCGTTGTTGCTCGTGACCCTTAAGTAGCCGATGGCGATCGGAGAGTCCGCAATGTCTCGTAATTCGATTACTCATTCACATGATCAACAAGAAATTACAAATTTGTTTATGGTCTATACTAATGGAAATGAACAATCAAAGAGATTGCAGTCATAAATAATTTATGACGTTGGTGTGTATGTGTGTGTGTGTGTGTATGTGTATGTGTATGTTTCGTCGTAATAAATTTAGCTATTTTCTTTTTTTTAAGTCAATAAATTTTACTTCAGAAATATATATTTCATTATTGTTGTTGTTTTTCTTTATTTTTTTACGCCGCGCAACTAAGTGGATACTGCGAGATGTACTTAAGACAGATGTCGCGACTGCTTAAGGGTTAAGATATACGGCCACTCGATTGCCCTAAGATCTTTCTCTACGTACACACACAGACATTTCCCTATGACATTTACGAATTACCAGTTAATATTAAATTGTAAATCGCAGCTACGTTGTCCGATATTGTGCCTACTTTGAGATTTCGCTATTCTACAGAAAGGAGAGCAGGGGAGAGAGGGGGGGAGGGAGGAAAATCTTTTTCGATCTAAACACCGAAACATGATGCCGAAAGTGATAAATTTCGACAATAAAAAACAATGTGGAAAAAGATTTTTTTTTTTTGTTGGCTACAACAAGCAGCTTTCCGTTTCTTCGTTCTTTCTTAGTTAAAATCCCGGTGCAAAATTTAAGTTGGCAATACATAGCGCGTGTTTAGGGACACATCTCCGTTTCATTTTGATTTCCAAATAGGTGAGATAAAGTAAAGGGAACAAATTCGAGAGCCATTTAAATGGAAATTATCGGAGAGAGAAAAAAAAAACTTTCGAATTGAATGCAAATCGCGAATGCAGATTTCATTGATCAAAAGTTTTTCGCGATTTTACGGGCACGTAAATATATGTATTTATTTATTTGGATCCTCTCACATGCGACTGATGCGAAGTACGCTACTAATAACAACGGTAATTATTTGACGTAAAAATAATAATAACGATATCATTTGACGAAGTGAAATAAACAGAACTTTGGTAAAATCGAATAGTTTCGTTCGACATATGTATGTTTATACAAATGTACGTTGCAAATATACAATATATATATATATATATATATATATATACGAAGTAAAAAAAAAAAAACGTAAAACTGCGGATTCATCGAATTGCAATCGTTAACTTAGTTTATACATTGAGCAATCGCAAATCGAGCGCTATCGATTACTCCTCGATATTCTTGTGAATAAAATTGACAAACAGATTCAGTTTGTCATGAGAACTGAGTGAGTGTCCCTATATATGCGTGTGTGTTTTTTAAACTCGATAAAACATCTCGAAAGAGCGAGATTGCGTTGTATACGTTGTGTATATATGTTCGTATGTGTGTGTAATGTCGCAATAGTGAGAGATGTGTCGAGTTTTTTTTGCAAGTAATCGCTTTTTACATTAAATAAGGAATAAATAACTCGCCCGTGCACGATAACAGGCGTTGATAAGCGCGTGAATAACGTTATACACGTAATAAACTGTACAGAATATTACAAAGAGAGTCGTCGGGTATGTATAATGTATATATATATAGTGTGTCTCTCTATATTTATATATATATATATATTTATATATAAACGTTGGTTAAGTAACACCATCGCGAAACACTCTCAACAAAAAAAATTGCGATTTTTTTTTTTTTTTTTGTATAACGGGACTTATAGATTCTCACACAAAATTGTCATCGTGCGTGCAAATCAACCAATGCTTATACATTCTTTATATATATATATGTATTTAAAAAAACATAGATATATATCTAGCGCTACAATCTAATTAACAAAATGTACATCCGGCGAAAAACGGCGCGAGCGCGACATAATAAACACCAGAACACTCAGTTTATCGTGTGACTGTCGGAATTATCAGTGTAGCGTTCCCCAAGTGACGTTTTCACGGAGAAATCTCGGAGAATAATACAAATAAACATTAAATTTTTATTTGCGCGAGTAATTTTCATCTCACACGGAAATGCATTTTCACCATTTAAGAAGCGAACTCGCTCCGCGAGTTATGTTATTTATTTATTTATTTTTTTTTTCAAAGTAATTTCTCAAATTGACGTGTGAAAAAAGTTAATGAGATTTTAAATTAAAACGTTATAAAAATATTGATCCTGCGTTAATTATTCTTTGCTTCCGGTTTTCCTTTCCGCAGAAAAGCATTTGAGAGCTCCGATTATATTGTTTGCCGTGTTTTGAAATATGTATAAACACGATTACGTGGCAACTTGAGAAATACACTGCGCTGGGAATCTCGAGGTCACATCTTACCCTGAAAAATAGAATTTTCCAAGTGTTCCTTCGCGTTAATCTCGCCCGGTTTTTCGATCAGCAAAAACTAAACAGCCAACAATTAAATCTCTCGCGCGAATACAAAGAAGCTCGAACCAATTCCGCCCTGTCGATAGACCCGCGAAAAATTTGCGAAGGTATCTCTCGTTTGAAAACATCAAAAATAAAAAAGCCGAACGGTTTATATTTTTGACGTTTCCTATTGTTATCTAAATTTATATTTCAGCACGAGACCGAAAAGTCTTTCACACACAATTCGTGATGTAGCGCGTGACATTAGACACGTATCTCGAAATCGATAATGATAGGATGATTCATGCTAGGTGACGACATTGAATGGCAGCTTTATCAGGCAGTGTGATCGCAGGACGATTTAATTAAGTTAAGCTGTGAATGGATAGCGAAGTCACCAGTTTCGTATTCATCCACATAGACCACGTTCGTCCGATCATTATCAGTCCTGGTACTGGAAGTTGCTAAGTGTATAGAATAATTTGTTGTTTTTTTTTTACAGTTATTTTTTTTCTCTAATTCGGTCTTCATCATAGAAAGATATTAAAAGAAAAATATCTGGTCTTTTTGTAAAATTTTACAATTGCAACGCAATTGCAGCCTTTGTAAATCATATGATATGCTCGTCTCTACGGTATATTTTTAATTAATCCTATATGTAAATTATACAGTACAAGTATTTTTTGCATAGAACACACTGAGCGATTTATATGTATATAGGTCCCTTCTATAATAAAATTTGCAAGTTTTGCAAATACGTGATTTGATTATTTGCAGCATTACGTGTGTGAAAACAGCAAAAACGCGAAACTTGCGCGTAGAAAACAAAAAAGCGTAAAACTCTTTTTTGCGTTATTATTCGTGCAAAAAATTTGCGTTCTTCGTCTCCAACGTGCGTTAAAGCGCACGAACGGCATAGCCGATACGTTCATATCCGAGAGATACCCCTGCTATGATCGACCTGCGCGAGCGCGTTTTATTACGGGTTATTTTTTATTTTTTATTTTTTATTTTTTTGTTGCGAGTACAGGGCGTTTTGAATACGGCAAACGCCGGTGTGCCGCATATAAATAATAACGTTTTAGGCGAAAATTGTCACGCGCAATGTATAGAGCTATTTCGGCATCGAACGTGGCACATCCGCGTTTACCGTGTTCCAAAAATACCGCGTATCGCACAAAAAACTCTCTATTATGTAACACTGGTGCGCGCGTGCGGAAGTCGCAAAAGAGAAAAGCCGATCGCGAAACGGGGGCGCGATAGATGCGATCTCTCGCGCTCGGTTTCACCGCGGGCGAATTAACGCGGCTGCACAGCCACATCCGCTTCCGACCAAGCGCAACGTCATTAACTCTCTAGTTCCCCCCGAATGATTTTCAGATACCAAGATAAATGGTAGATTACCATCGCTCTCTCTCTCTGAAATAACGCGTGCTCGCGAGGATAAGAAACTTGAAGACTCGACATAAAAACAGTTTGTAAATTTGAAAAATAAACACGTAAAAGAGAGAGAGAAAACGAGAAAAAGAGAATCGATCGTTCTCTAACGATATATAATACAAAAACGTATTCTTTATATTTATTTAGAATTTTAAAAATAGCATTTACAACTTGTATGAAATTATTTTATATCTTGCTGTGAAAATATATCAAGGACGAATTTTTTAACCTTTTCAGCAAGGCGCACAGAGCGTCACTGTGACGGCCTTTTGTCGCATACAAGTTACATTCGGCGTCGTCGACTAAAGTCGACGCTCGGCCGTAGACAGATACGTTGTGCGGCCGTCGACTATTGTCGACGACAGTCAAGTCTTCAAAACTTCTCATCTCCTCTAATATTTTCTGAATAGAAAGAGCCTTAGTTATTTCGAGTAATTTAGTTTTACATCGTTTCTTTTTTGTTTGAATTTAATACGTAAAGCGTGTTATATATATAAATTGTACACTGGGAAGAAGAGAGCTAATGATTTGTTTTTTTTGCTAGTAAAACCGAGCATCATATTTAGCGGATGACATAGTTTCAATGATGCCACGTAAAATTACCGTAATTTTATTTCAACACCTATAAGTCGAGATAACGTGGAATCGATAATTTCCACTACATCTTCTATGATATATGTATGTATATAGTTTTTATCTATACCAATCGAATGGTAATTGCAATTGTTCTTTTCAATTTGCGAAATTTCTTTCGTTTTCGACCGAAAGCTGGCGAACTTTTCCTGGGACGTGTAGCTGTTGTTGCGCAATTTTTCGGAAATGCGATTTTGATCGAAATTTTTCTGTCCTCTTTTGTTGCATTGTGCTGTGTCACAATAGTGGTAGTAGCACAACTGAAAAATGAAATTATTTCGATTGGAAAAATAGATTCCGAAACATTTCATAACAGCCACCATCTGATTCGCTCGTGTATGTGTAGTTGAATTTTTTTTTTTTTTTTTTTTTTTGTACGAATTGTTGCAGTCTTGTGAAACACAATACATTTCATGAAATGCAAAAGTGTAAACTTACGCGTTATATCAGTTTCACAAATCTGTTTTCAGTAAATTCCCTCTCCTTACACCACTTGCAAATTACACATATTATCAATTAAATTCAATCGTTTTACCGCCAACCGGTGGAACGTTTCACCGTTTTGGTGTCGATATAACAAAAAAACAGTACGGCGATTGTAAATTTCATTATCGAATAAAATCACGCGATATTCGAAAGGAATCTCGCCAGCTGTCAGTCGTATCGTCAGAAAAATCACTCCGCATCGCTCCGAAAGGACAAAAAAAAAAAATCCACGATCGAATCTCTCGACCAATCTCGGGCGCGCTCGGTCGGAGAACGATAGTGCCTATCTAAGGCTAAGTTTTGCGTTGCTGAGATTGGCATGTACCTATATGTACTTACGCGAGCACACGCACGTTTACACACACACTTCAGCTCCAGCTGCTGCCGCCGCTGTTGCTGCTCGGTCCGTCACGAACGTTTGATCGCGATGGACAGTCACCAGAACGATCCGAGAGAACTTGAAGAATTGGCCGAGCTATGGTGACGTTCACCTGAACGCGGCGCCCGCGACGATGGTGACGGCGGCCAGAATCACAGCCGCGGAAACCGTACGCCCGCAGGAACTGCCGGCCGTAGGCCCGGCGTCGCTGCTGCGTGATACTTTGCTGCGCACCAGATGACCCCGCTCGATCGCGTTGGACTCGTCGCTGTCGGGATCCGGCGCGGCGATGTCGTCGTCCAATATCATCGACAGCTTGTTCCGCAGCGGCTTCTTCGTGCAGGGCACGTTCACCTCCTCGTAAGGTCTGAGAATGCGCGGATAATGCACTTCGAGGCTGTCCGTGCCGGGCAAGGCGCCTTTGCTGCCGCCGCATAACGGCTTGAACGTACCGCTGCGAGTGGCTTCTTGGAAGCTCTCGAAGTTCGATTGCCAGTCGTAACTGACCAATCGGTCCTCCAGCGTCATGCCCGCCAGTTTTTGCGGCTCTTGAATTCTCACCGGACTAGAACTCCTATGTAACAAAGTTGAACGTCCCGTCATAGTTCGCTGGCTCTCTTTTATTTTAACGTTTGATTGATTGTATATACATCGTTTTTGCCCCATTTAATTAAAATATTATTGACAGTTTTTATTGAGAGTTTTTAAATAGTTCAGTAACTTTAAAGAAAAACCGATATATCTCAATAAATCATGAGAATCATGCATGATACATATATGTAACACTGTGATGGACCAGCGTAACGCATGATGCAACGCAACTGTCGCTCGTTGAATTAATGATGGCCGACAATTTTGTAACGTACGAGCTGTCCCTAATAGCCAATTTAGAGCGACCAGGGAGTAAAATGTCGAGTCCATGGTGTCGTATAAACGGTTGAAAGAACTCGCGGACATTCCGCTCGATATTTACAATTAACCCAATTAAATTGACACACAATTGAAAATATTGTTTTAGCAAAAATATCGTATTCCCAATTCGGTGATAATTGTTTTCAACTTTTTGGACGTACTATCTTCAATATGTCATCATGTTATTATTTTCTTTATTTTGACGTAATTATAGTGAAAAAACAAAAAAACTTACGGCACTAATTTCTGAATTCCCAAGCTGTGCAGCACCGTCGGTAGCGAAGGTAAGGAATAGCACAGGGATAAATCGATGCGGGGATAATAGAGAGCAGACACCAGACAGGTTTCTTCTTTCGTTGCCAAGCCGCCGAGCGTGATGGCTTGGCGGGATTCGGACGAGTATGTGCATTCAGCGACCAAATGATCACCCTGTAATTTGACAAGAAAAAAACCATTGCCTGACGTGTGAGCATTATCAATTTTAAAAATGAAAAAAGACTTGAAAAATTGTTGTCTCCTTTTAATAATAGACAGTGTAATTTATATATTAAAAAAATTTACTATATATATTTCAATTACCTACTAAACTAAATATTTTGATTATTTATATTACAGAATATATAAAACTCAATTTTAGCGTTGCAACAACGTTTTCACTCTTTGTTAACACGTATAATAGCGTTTAAACTCTTTCGTTTGAGCTCCTTTAAACAATTAAACTCTCGGGTTCATGCCCTGCATCTGTAGCATGTCGGCACTTTACGTGATCAAAGCTATACTTATTGTACGTTAATAAACTTTGTAACAAGCTCATAAACTTTCTGATACGTGCTGCGGATTATAATGCGGCTGAAAGTACGTTTGCGGAAGCGCAAACGAGAGAGAGGTGTGCAACGTGGCAGAAAGAGAACAGAAAATATAAGAATATATTAAAGGACTACTGTAAAGAACGTAAGTTTCTCGCGAGGCTCTTGAGAATAATCTCGGATTACTTTGGAGGGAAAGAAAATCTCGCGGATAGTTCAAGATTTTCTCTCCGCTTCTTCGCGATTCGCTTTCCGTTGATCGGAAATATTTTATAATTGCGTTAGCCTGTGCAAAAGACGAAGACGACGAAGTTTAATAAATTGGTCAATAATGTAGGTGGATTAAAATAAAATCACAAATTTAAGATTATTGCAGTATCTGATATCTTTTTCTTTCAATAATCATATTGAAATAAAAGATATATCTATGTTACGATAGAAAAGGCATACATATAATTTTCTTCCTCTCTCTCTCTGTCTCCCTCTCTCTCTCTCTCTTGTATACGTTAGAGTCAAGACTGTGCTTACCGGATACACCTTGACTGGCCTCTGAAGCTTGCGATACTCCTGATAATTAGGATCGTAGTTGGTGTCGGCAGCGATAGGCGGCATCTCCTCGCCAGCGCGGATCTGCCGGAGGCGAACCTTTCTGCCGAGCTGGTGGGTGTGCATGATCACGGCAAACATATTGATGCCGCTGTTTGGTATCGTCTGGTCGGTGCAATCAGAGATGCAGTGGCCCTCGGAGACCACCTCGCGCTGCCCCGGCGGTATAATGTGCCGCCAGTTTGGGTCGATGCCGACGCTGAGGATGCCAGCGTCGTGTGCGCGCAACCGATCTGTGTAGAGGAGACGCAGCCCGCTGCTGTCGCTGATGAAGGCGTCCATCTGCGGGTTCATGTAGTGAGTCTCCAGCATGTAGTAGCGCGGCCCCTTGTGCGGATTGAGCGCGTATCCGGCCTCCGGCGGATAATTAAAGCCCTGGTGCGGCGAAAAGAGAGAAAGAAAACGATGGATTATGCAGAAGCCGCCGGTGAACAGAAAAAAAAAAAAAAACGAAAAGAACCGTCGGCGAGTACGCCGGTCCGGTTCTGATCGGGAGTCCGCTGAGCTCGTCCGATCTGGTTCGGTTTCTGATCTCGACCCCTCCTTACGCCGGAACAACGTTCCAGCCTCGGTAATCGGTATACGCCTCGATCCATCAGCGGACCCACGATGAACATTGTCGCTCGCGGAATTCGTATCCTTATTGACGATGCGCGTACACGCGTATTACGCTCGACTTAAATTTTAATTTTCAGATACTGATGACGAAGCGAGATAACGATCCGCCCGATTCGAGAATTCGCGCGAGCGCGCGCAGTAATCACTGCTTTAATAAGCGTCTCGGATCTGCATTTATTAATGCAGCCACGGTAAATTTCGATCGTCCGCGTTTCATTTATTTGCATTATTAATGAGATTTTCTCTTATCCCTTTTTAACTCTGAAGACTCGGACGGAGATTCATAAACTTTTTCTATTTAGCTAGAATTTTTATAACTTGAGAAAATATATATTATTTCATCCTTGATTAGTTTTTAGTTTACTTATAAAAGTGGAAATATGTGACAACATTATTATTATAAATATAGCAAATAGAATCGTCAACAGTTTTCTAAATATTATCAATATATTGTTTTTAAAAAAGAAAATAGAACGCGCGCGTAAAGAGATAAACAACGGATTAATATGTATGCGCGCGCATCAATGATTACAAGTATTACAACAAATATTCATGTAAGTAACGTCTTGTTATCACTTGTCATTTAATGTTCTGAAAATCATTTACAAGATCTCGACACGTTTCACGATCAGTTTGCAACTTTGCAATGTGTTCGTATTTCCGATAACCACGAAGAAACAAGTTCGTAGCATTCCTGTTCCCACATTGGTATGCATTACACCGAACTCGGAATTATCATGAAACTCCGGACGTGTCTTATACGCGTGTAACACTTGTCAACGAAGAGTTGAGCTTTTGTACGTCGAAAATTAGATGTTGTAAGCATTACAAGCTCTCTCACTTGCAAACAAAAGAGCAAAATGTAACAAAAATTTTTGAATATTTTTTTGCAGGTTTACATTTTTTCGTTTTCACAGATTTTTTTAAAAGAGAAACGAATTCCATTTCAATCGATCGTTATAGTAAAATAACATTGCGATATATAGCTACTTTTATTCTTTCACAACGGGAACGTCGATGCGACAACTAAGTGTATTTTTTTATATATGTATTATAGTAATAGAAAATTATATTAATAAAAAAATTTTAACAAATAACAATTGCTGCACATAGAAAACGCAATAAATATATATATAAAAAAATAATAATAAATAAATAGATTCTAAAGGTTATCATCTTTTTCTGTGTGTCTTTATTCTGCGGATTTTGGCAACGTGTCACAAACTCTCGGAAACTCGCCGATGTAGCGACATTTGAGAATCGCATCGAGGTCTTCGTGTGTGAGCACAAGTGAAGTTTTCGACGTACCTCAGAACCGAGGCTCCAAGTGGCCGCAATCGTGTTGCACTGGAATGCGGGTTTATCAGAATCGTCGTAGCACACACTCCCGGTCGTTTCGGCCGCGGATTCCAATGCGGTTTGATCTCCGCGGCACTCGTACAGGGTCATATGGTGCAGGTATTGGTGGCTTCCCGGCTGAATAACTGGTTCGTACTGAAATACAAGAACGGGCATACAAGCTCGTAACGAGGATTAATGTCGAGAGCATTTCGGTTGTCTTTGTGATATGTTCATGACTCGAGAGAACACTGCATATCTTGGCAATCTTATTAAGAGCCGACGTTGAATTGATCGGAACAAACCGCGAGTTTACAATGAAAATAAAACGAGTTGGTTATTTGCGTGTAATTTTTCCCAATTTTATGCGCTTTCGCAAAACAAATAGTTTTTTAATCGACAATTTTTTCTAATTTTCTTGAATCTAAAATTATTTTATAACTTATAGTATAGTCGCAAGAGTTTACGATGGAAATAAAGCGAGTTTGTTATTTGCGTGTAATTTTTTTTTTCAATTTTACACGCTTGTGCAAGACAGATATTTTTTTAGTCGAATACGTTTTTTAACTTTTTTGAATCTAAGATTTTGTAACACGTATAAAGTGATGTTTTATAAATAACAAGTTCAATAGTGCAAAATAATCGTTGCGTTGACACTCGAGATGTCAATTGATTAGCTGAAGATTAATTTAAACTATTTTATACAGAGACTATCGATTACGATAGAAAGAGATTTTTCACACGATATCAAGTGCAGTTTAAAGAAAGAGTGCTGTTAAAGCGGAAAATTGGGAAAAAAACGAACTTCGGCATAGCGGAGCACCTCTCGCGCTTCTACACCGGCGAAAACGTGCCGTTTCAATTCGTTCTCGATAGGAACAAACTAAGAGCCCGCCGAGTGTCTGGTTAACGGCCGTTCACCTGACTGTTAACGTCGGAACGCCTCGGTACTCCTCGTCAGTAAAAAGTTTCGTAAAATGCCACGCGATGAGCGTCCGCGTTTCAAGTGCTTGAGAGTTATCGCGGAAGGCTAATCGCCCGTCCTTCGAATGCCGCGCCACAGTGCAATCGCATCGCGTAGTCGAGTCACGTGCGATTGGATTCGAGATTCGGGTGTCGATTAGTCGCGTTAGATAGAGCGGACTACAACGTCAGCTCTATTCTGGGAAGTTTCGGCTGCAGATATGAACATCAACGTTAAGAAGGTAAGTTGAAATAAAAAGAACAAAGAAAATCTTCGAATTTTCTTTACGCAAACAAACTGACGCGATGACGACGATTTATTTGTCGTCCTTATTCCGGTTCCGGTTTTCCAACGGCTTTACATCGCGCTGTGAATAACAATCGAAGAGCTGAAAGAACATGACTGAGATGAGATTTTACTGAATTACCGTCACATACGCTTTACGAAAAGAACAAAAGTCAAACGGTGCAAATGTCAATGTGTATACACGAACGTGTTGTCATTGATGAATTATTTGCCGACATGTGATACAAGTTAAATATATACATTTGAGAAAAAGTGAACGAGAGACTAGGTAAACTTTTAGGAAACGTATACACGTTGAAGTCCCGCGCAAATATTTTACATTCGGAGGATTCGTCACGTGTCATCGCGCGTGTCATATTCTTTTCAGTTTAAACATAACTGAGTAATAAATACCGACACTTCCTTTCGACGATGTCGAAACTTGAAAATGCATAACGTGCTGCGATGCGTTCGTGGTTTTTTTTTTTGACGATAAAATATTCCGTTTGGAATTTGCGCAAACACAAAAGTCAGTCAACAAACAAGTTTTACCGCTTTCGGCGTTTTACTGCCGATTCGATTCCGATTTGGAGAACCGCACGCTTCTGCATCGAAATGAAACTTATTACCGACGATGGATCGATGTGCGGCGGTAATATGGGGGTTTTACGACCGGCTGCTTCGTCATTGTAGCATTTATCGATGACATTTCGCGCATCGATCTGTCATCGTTGGCAGTGAAACCCACTAGCCGGAACGACGAAAACGATCCGGCGCGTTTACTGCACTGATCCTGTCATCGCACCGGATCTCGCTTGCATGTTTACGATGTAATTTTATAGTCGAATTAATCAATCTGTTTGTGTGTGTATGCACAGCACGCGCACAAACAAAAACAATTAAGCGCTTAATCCTCTTCGTGTGCGCATTTGTATACGTGTGAGTAATCGAAATATTATTTAAAACTCTCGGTCGAGAAACGCGCGAAATCGATACTCTTTTTAATTTACATACGCGTACATCAAATAATTCCTTCGAGAGAACGTGGCTCGGCCGTGATTAATCATCCGGTATGAAACATTGTAACCTCTCCGGATTATCATTTTGCGCGGCATATTTATCGGACGGCTACCTGAAGATGTTGCATCTCCGGACGCGAAAACACGTGAGGTTGAAGAGTATCTCTTCCCGTACGATGAGAATGGTGGGGAGAGCAGAGGAGGACGGGGCGAGGATAGGAGGGCCGAGAGGCAAACTCGACGCGCAGTTTCTTCGGCATTACAAGAGCATCCACCTTCGCTTTAATCAAGTCGGAGAGCGTCGGGCGCGCGCGAGCTACCGTAAACGGGTTATATACCTGCAGGAACTCACCTTCACGACGTGGTGTTTGTGATTAATGCTCGGCATCTCCAGGACACGGCACCAGAGCAGCGTGTCTTGCCCCATGGGTAAACGAACCTGCACAGCAATTCGAATGGTACTTCGTTAAGTATAATTCCATGCGAAACTCTAACGGATAGAGTTGTATTGCATCGGAAACAAAGTCGATACGAGGTATCGATATCGATGTTTCAAAGAGATATCAATATACTTGGTATCGACAGAAGGAAAATGTAAATTAAGATATGTGTGCGCGCGAAACAACTGTAAATTATGTAATGGTGTAACATAAGAAAAAAGAGTGCGAAGAAGCATATTATCAAGAGGAGCGAGAGATAGTGTCTCGCGCGCGAGGCAGACCGTCACTTACGCGAGTCGGATAGTTCAGTTGAGCTAAGATTTTAATAAAGTCACGTGACAGGGAGGAGAGGAAAAATAACACGTGACTTTAGTTACGTTTTTAAAGACAGGTGACTAAAGTAAAGTCACGTGTTTTTCCTCTCTTCTCTGTCACGTGACTTTAGTCACGTGTTGGTTTTCCACTCTCTTTTTCTATTTTTCAAGTTTGTTTGTGATTTTAAAATAAATAATTTTCAATTGATTATGAATGTCGCGTATAAAAGGCATTACCGTGCTTTTTGATTCGTACGACATGAATCGAGAAACGTCCATTCAGCGTCGAGATAAAAGTGGCAACATTCAATAGCGAGAGAATCGATTGTGATTATTTACTCACACTTTTTCTGGTAGGATAATTATCTTTTCTTAAGAGAGAGTTTAGTTTCTCACATTTTTAGTAAAAATTCCAATTGGAAGACAATTCTTCAAAAACTAATAAGTATTTTTTAAATTCTGGACTAAAGAAAAGAAAGAAAATGATTGCATTTTTAGTTAATAAAATCGGTTTCGCAATTACTTAAGCGTACGTATCATTTCTTGAAATAATCTCTTGCTGTACCATCTCTCAGAAATAAGTGGGTGACTCCACAACAAAATTTCTCTCGAAACGAAAGTGTTAAAAAGCAGAGAGCAAAATTCAAAGAACTTGTACTACTTAGTGCATACGCCAGGTTAATGGTTTGTTACAACGTAGTGAGAGCAGTTAAACGCAAACATATTCGAGAAATTCATTACCATATTTTCCGACGCCGCGTGCGACTTACGTAACAAGGTTGCGAGTTACTTTTGTGATATACGAGCCCATTTCGCTCTGTCTCAAAGCGGGAGCCTTCCACGCCACGCGACTATTTTGCGCAGTTCTCATGCACGGTCGGCATCGTGCGCGAGACCACAGTGCGAGTTTTTCGGCACGTATAACAGAATAAGAACGTGCACAACGGCGTGCACGGTTTCGCTTTACACGTTTCGCTCGATACATAAACCATATTACACACATGCGAACCTTGGTTCGTTCAAAACCCGTTACCGCTCGCAACACACTTCGTACTATCGCTCAGTTGCACTTGGTTGCGTTATGCAGCTTTGTAGTTAAATTGTAAACTTCTTGCGCCGCGCGAAGCGCAGTAAGAACCACGCGCACCAGCTATTAGTGGTTACTTGTCGCACATGCATCCACCATTTACAAGTCAGATTCAGAGCCCATCCGAATTACTCACGGAGCGTGGGCTTTCGTGCATCAATGGAGCAGCATCACGCGCTCCGTTACTGCAATGTATCCCGGCATGATACAAAAGAACTGCGTGAAGTGGGGAAGGGTAGGTGCTGGTGAGCCGTTTCAAACTGCTCGCCGCGGGGCGTACAGGCGACCGTATAGCGTTCGAGAAAATTACAATTCTCTCTTTTTCGCGCATTCTCCCCTTCCCGCGACTCCCGCTCCGAGCGCTCGAACCGCGCCGGCGGATTCTCCCACGCGCTTATGCGAAATTATCGATGTCGAGATTACCGGGAAGGACGGGAGAAGCGCGTTTATTGTTTTGCGGTCGAGCTACGCTGACTGACGCCCGGGGGCGACGAGGGGAGTTTTAAGAGACGACGTGAGCGAATTTCCGATTTTTGCGCCTGTAAGCCGCGGAGACTACCTTCGTCGCTCGGGGCCACAAATTCTTTTTGTTATATTGTTTGCAATTTGCGCAATAATATACATGAGGTGTCTTAATGGCAAAAACCTCGAAGCGAACAGATAGACTTTTATGGCTTTATTTATTTGTGAATTTCAATCCTCTTCTCTCTAAATCTGATAAAGGAAATTTTCAACGTGTCAGAACAAAACTTGTGAGAGAACGAAGTGACGACGGAGTCTTCAAGAATATATAACGAGAGAACGTAAGAACTAACAAACCAGTGGCAAGTTTTAACGGACGGGAGAATATCGCAAACCTGAGAAACGCCGCAACCGGGCGGCTGCTCACCACCAGCTTCTTCGTCTTCTTTGTGCCTATTCTATTCATATTCATTGTAGCGCGCTACAAAAGTTACTTGACCGCTCGGCAACTTCCGGGAAAGTTAAGAAAGAACTTCCTCGCGATATTCCGGCGAAAATGGGGATGCGGGTCGAGATGCGGGAATAAAGCGATGGTCAACGATATTCTAATGCTGCAAAGAAGCGCGCTGCTCATCCTCTTTTTTAAATATTCCGCCATCTTGCACAAACACTAAAAGCCGTATTATCGATCATTTTTACGAGAGAGTCTGAATGCATAGTTTTTATGAAAAATGTTTGGATTCGTACCGTAGAACTTCGGCGTACTGTGCTAGATTTCTCTTTTTATCTTTTTTTTTTATTTTATTTTTTTTTTTTTTTTTTTGAACCTTTTAATTTTACGCGGCGTTTGAAACAAAACAAACACGTGCTGTTGTTTTAAAGAGAAAGAAACGGAAAAGAAAACATACGAAGTGTAAGAGGAGAAGGACCTGTTATCTCGATTATTCTACTACAGCGATTCTAACAGGGTTTTGCAATCTCGGCAGTCATATAAATTCCGTCAGAAAAATAATAAAATTCGACAAACTACAAATATATCCTGTTTGCGAAACAAATACACGCCGTGCCAAGCAGCGTTTGCTTGTCTCAAACGATATTACATGGTAAACATTTCCGGGTCGTTTATCAGCACGTTCAGCGAGTGATCTTGCACTTTTTCGCGGGACAGCGGGCGGAATACGCGAGCGTGGTCCAATTCCGGCCTCGATATAAACAGCATAGACGGGGCAGACGGTGTAGAATTAGCATTGTCCGATTCCCAGCGATAGCGCCGACCTCGTAATCTACGACCCGGCGACGCTAATGAACGAATAGTTTTTGCCGGATGTGACCCGGTTAAGATTTATGCCATCATAAATTCGGCGCACAATGCGCTCTCTCTCTCTCTCTCTCTCTCTCTCTTTCACTCTCTCACTCCTGCCGCTTATACGCTTCGTGTCCGATAAAAATCCTGTCGCACGCGCACGCCGAACACGCTAAATGCGTCCGAAACATTCATCTCACGCGCGCGATACAACACGCGACCTACACGCGTGTTGTATGACTGACAGACACAAAACGCAGAAGAGAGAGAGAGAGAGAGAGAGAGAGGAAAAGAGAGACCTTCAAAAAAGCTCGTTCGCATCTCGGGGATTTGGATAAACGAATAATCTGCCGTGTCTCTGCAATATCAAAACGTCGAGCTGGCTTGTGTTTCGTTCGTGAAACGTCGAATCAGTTTCTGTTTCGTCGGTGAAAATTCTCGACTTTCTCCGTCGAGGTTGACGTTTTCACAATGTCGACGCGAGACAGTTCCGCTCGATCGACTTACAAAAGAAATAGTTCACCAACTAACTTTAAACATACATTTTGAGACTCGAGAAAATTCTAAACAAACTCGAATTAAGATAAAATGTCGAGTTAATGAGTTATTGCTCCGACGATGATTCGATGTCCGAGTAAAATAACTTCTTCGGTTACTTTAAATCCTTTCAGAACCAGCTTGGGGGTCTTTCTGGGGGCCTTCGCGCAAATCGAGTCTAATATCACAACGCCGATGGCAGATCCACTTTCGTGAACTCTAATTAAAACTCTTTAATCGTCTTTGTTCGCGCTCGCAAATTTCTCCGCGGTCGGGATGAATATTAACTTTGTTCTTATTTCTTGTCACGTGCCATCGTAATAACGCGAATCGTAATAAATGCAACGTGCGCCAACTGTTCTCTCTCCCACTCGCTCATTTAATTACGTCGAGAACGACATACTTCCTTCTCTTCAGTTAGTTAAGTATTTATCTCGACAGAGAGAATACGTCTTTATATATTACATTTACTTATATCACATCGTATATGTTATATAAATATTTTCTTGACAATATACGTGTTTTTACGAGCACGTAACACTTATAAAGTTGAACGCGATCGTTGCTTCGCTCAAGAAATATCATTTTTCGTTACGTAAGTCCAGGAATCCGAAGACGACTTTTGCAGAAAACAAACAAACAAACATGTGCCAACTTTGAGATAGAAGATAAAATTCAATTTTAATTATTTGAGTCCCGTTCTCTATTCTGTTACTTTGTAACTCAGCTATAGAATGAAAGAAAAAAAAGAAATCGCAGATAAAAAATATAAACACGGCGACTCACCTGCTTGTTTAAAATATCCCAGCTCTTCAGCTGCGGCTCCGATTCTTGATTGCGCGAGTTTCTTCTAGGTTGCGCGTCTCGCTGTACCAAGTACAAGGGCCTCGATCCCCGTACCGCGCCGTGATCGGGTAAAATTCCGGCCGCCGATACCGGCTCCTCCACGTGATATTGCCAAACCACTTGCATCGTGTCGTTCTGAAACACAAAGGACGGTCCCAAGTCAAGACCGGTGTTTTCCTCGTTTTCCGCTTTTTGTTGTCGAAAAATATTGATAGAAAAACGGGGAGGCTACAAAGGGTCGGGCCTTTATATCCGAGTCGCCGATAAAAATCGGTGCTTCCAGAAAGGAGGCATCCCGTACGACGCGAATAGACGAGGTCTGCTGAGAATTGCGCGCTCGACTGCGTCTTTTAATCAAACCTCTCGTGAGGTTTACGATCAAAAATTATATCAGCCGAACTATTATATCAGCCATCTATAGAGAGAAAAACGTTAGAGAAAAAAAAATATATATATGTTGGGGAGGAGATATATTGATCTAAGGGATATATTGTCTAGTTTTGCTAATCTAATGTAATGTCTTTTGGTAAAACAAAAATCAGCATTTTATTTTAACCGAACAAAATCGATTTATATTTTACGGTAAGCAGTATGTCACATACGTATAAAAAAATATGACTTATTGCATCAAACAATAATACAGCACCTAAAGCATTTAATAACATCGCGATTGAAAAAGTCTAGACTTAATTACTTTTTCAGCCATAGATGGTTTAAGCCACCCTTAAGCCCGGGAATCAATTCCATTCGACGCACGTCAATGATCTGCGGCTGTATTGCGGGCATACGCGATTCATAGCCCGAGAAGAAGGGCGAACTCTATCGAGGGTGGTCGCGCGATATACCGAATACAAGCGACATATATAGTATAGCTCTCGGCTCGCTTGTCGCGGTTCGCCGCGAAACGTACACGTGTCCGACCGCGCCAAACTTGGGGTCGCTTTTACACGATCAAGCCACTTACACATCTCGGGACAATCGCGCTTGATTGGAGGACTGTCTACACACGGATTCGTTAACCGATTCGTAGCACAACATGTCATTGGCACGCACACACATTTCGCTAGAATACAATTATTACTAATCGGTAATACGAGGCTGTAATCAGACCAGGTTTTGTGCTTATGCTAATGTTTCAACAACATTGTTATAGTTTTTAAAGCAACAATGTCCCTTCTTTTTTTTTAATAAAACACGAAGAATGAAACGATAATTACTAGAGAATATATATGAACTGTACACACAATTTTGATGGAAATAAAACAAAAGTTTATTATATAAAGCTTGGGAGTGCAAGAGAGAGAGAATAAAAGAATAAGTGAGTGAGAATGAAACAAAAGAAAGAAAGAGAGAAAGAAAGAAAGAAAGAAAGAAAAAGAATGTGTGAAAAAGAAAATAGTAAACGGAAACGGAGGTCCCCTTTGCGAGCGTAATGGGAAGTAGAAATAGAAATAGTAGGATGATAAAGAGGCGAGAGTAGATTGCGGCGTGCGGCAAGTAGAAATAAGGAAAATGACAAGGCTGACAGGCTAAAGAGAAAGAAAAAAAATGAGAGGCGAGCGTGTGTGGGCATATAAAAACGTGTAAATAGAAGTATTAAGTTATTTGTAAGATAGTTACGTACAGGAAAATTGTAACCTCAAAAATAATAACTTTATCTTTTTATAAATAAACTTGTGTAAAAGATACGAAGAAATGGTTTCTTTTTTTTATCCGATTCTATTTAGACAGATTAATTATTATTCTCATACATATGACTTCTGTAAAACTGCATTTTTATTAACAGAATGGCGGAAGATCGGCAAAAATATCATATCACGTGTTAAATATTCATAACGTTATTAAAATATACATTCGCGACATCAATTTTTAACTCGTTACATGTTAACATGAAACATTGCTTGACAGAATTGTTTTCAATTCAGACATCTCTCATATTCTCGATTGTTATCGATTTCTGTCCCGCCATTAAAAGTATCAGAGACCCAGATTAAGAGCGTACTTCGCCATTCGAGACACGTTTGTATGTGAAGGAAAAAATCGTCGACGGAATCACAGTAGTCTCGCAATCGGCGGACGACGCGACGGATTTGCAAGCCGCTCACGTGTTACCCATTCACGTTCTTCGATAATCGCCACGTCGCGTTCTCTCCTCCACCTTCTTCCTCCGTGAGGAACCTCCATGTCCGTTAGACTCCACCGCTTATAATCGTCGGCGCACCTACGTTTGTTTCAGCACCGGCTGAGACAATCGGGCGCCGTTCTCGCCTGATTCGAAGGAAAACGGCGAAAAGGAGAAGGGGACGGGGGAATATAACGTGGCGACCCAGATCCGGGCGAAATCGAAAGATTCCCGGGGCCAAGATGGAAGGTCGATTGGAGGGAAATGGGCATCGCGCGCTGGAAGCAGCTAGGTGGGAATCACGCGATTCACCGCCGATCGATTCTGGAGACGCCCTTTGACTACGTTATGCACTCTCGTTATCCTGTCTTCGATCAAGCTACGGCCAAGTTCCTCTTTCGAAGTGTTTTATACGTACGGTGTGCCTCAAGAACGATCAATCTTTCAACATTAAAGATATTAAGGACATGCTTGCAGATAAATAATGTCTCATCTTCGGCGAATTTCAAATGAGCTTTACCACGTCGGAATCTCAATTAAACATGTACGAGAGAGAGAGAGAGAGCAGATGAGATTTTTTTTGTAAGATTTTTAAATTACTTAATTTTTTATTCTCTTTATTACTCTTTAACGCGAAATCTCCAAAGTCGATGTCCGATTTAGCATCTGAGATGTAGCTTTAACTCGAAATCGCTTGAAATATTGCCACCCCATATCGCGCTGTACTATGCGCTTTCATTAAATGGCTCGGGGGATTTTCTTCTGCAGTGATGATAAATGTCCTCTCCTTTATCTTGTTCGATACATTCTTATGCAGAAGTCTCGCGGAAAATAGTGGCTCGTGAGTATCCCTAGATAGTCGAGTTCAAAGGACGCGGGAGCTATTGTGAGATCCGAGAGTCTGTGCCATTTGCGATGCGAGTAAGCCACGTGCTCGATCTCAGAAATCCTGATTTAAAAGATCCGCCTATCCCGCCGCATCCTTAAGTATATCAACGAGAAAAGAGCGAGGAGAAGATTTTCCATCGGAAGGATCGAGTGCAAACCCGTGATAACTCGGGGAAACATAAAGAGACGCGTTAATCACCGCAATTACGGTTAGAGATACTCGTTGCGAGCGTTGTGAGCTACGACTCGCAAGAAATTGAGAACTGGGGATATGAATAATGAACACTTAAAGCGTCTGCTATAAATTTCAAAGTTTTATGGAAACGCGCGTTTTTCAGGAAAAAAAAAAAAGCAGCAGTCCGACTAAGATATATGTGAGTACAAGATAAAACAACGGATCCTGTTTGAAACTATGGGATAGGCACTGTACGGTAGTTGCTTCGCAAGAACAAGATATAAGCAAGAAGACAAACACAGATCGGATTTGAGAATCGAAGACACATCCTCTTCTAACTCAAGCACTGTTTCTTTTGCAACTTTGTTGTTTCATTGCTACCCACGCGCCGTAAATCTCTTCGACTTGTTCGTTTTGCGACTCGACGTGCTTTCTTCCGCTCGTGCATCTACGTTAAAGAAGGAGGGAGGGAATGATAGTAGTCGTATAGCTCGCAATTATTGCCGTTCCAATACTCGTCGGGTCAAAGAAAACAGGGTGAGAGCAAGGCGGAGAAGATCCCATTTTGCAAGTTAAAGACGTCAAGTCGCGATGTGGGCAAATGGCGCGCGAGCTCCCTCCCGGAAACCGTAACATAAAAGATCTGGGCCACGTGCTCCGTGGAATCCCAAAGTTGAGTGCGAATAGAAAGAGAAGAGAGCGCGTAGGAAGCGCGCGGAGTAGATCGAAGGGAGAGCGGTTCTATATAATGGCGTTTAATAGAGCTCGCCCTATTACGCGAAAGCGACTATAGGGTTGGCACACAGACTTCTTTCGATTCCGACGCGAATTTTCATCCCTGTTTTTCTCCCGAAAAACGTTAAAAACAATTTACCGAACGACGATAAGCGGGACAATGCCGCTTTTTATATGCGAATAACGCGATGTGTGTTTAACAATTATCTGAGAAGTTGCCGGTGGCCAAATATATAATTATCCACATTTTTGATTCGGTGCGCCAGAAAGTCGCCGGCGTTTTCTTCTCGTCCGGAAATCAATGTAATATTGACGTTACTACAAAAGAGGGGAATTACAATAAAGAGATAACAAATGGGATTCATTCGGTATCCACGGCGAACACGCGAACTACGGTCTATATCCTTTCGAAATTGAAAATCCACTTCTTTTCTCTCCTCTATACGGGGAATTCCTCCCACCATGTTCTTTCGCTTTCGGTATTACACCCAGAAATCGTATCTCACAGCTAACGTCGCGCGACAGTCGTTGAATTTAAGGGGCGTACCCCAATTTCAGAGTGGAGAGATATCACTTGCTGAGCAAATGACGCGTTCTTCCTTCCTCGGGAAAGACCCGTTTCAGAAGCTCGATGTCGCCCGTTTCTCCCGCTTTCAAATCTTCACTTCGTGCGAGGCAAACGTTTTGGAGGAAGAAAAAAAGAGATCGCGAGGGAACGACTCCCTCCTTCGTGTGAAAAACGATCTCTTCATAATGACGCTTAACATATTCGAGGCGACGGGTTTGGGATTATCCGAATTTGAGAATAATACGGACGACATGTGTAACATGAACCTCCCCGCAGTAAGTCTTCGGACTCGCAAACTTTATTAGCCTTACCTAATATACTTACTTTTTAATAACGAGAATAATTCATACAACTAATCTCTCCACTCGTTAAAATATCTCATTTGAACAACTTTTCTCAATTTCCCGAAAGTGTAAAGTAGCTTACAGAGAGAGGGGTGTATACTTTTTCATCACAACAGATTTCAGCTAATTGCCAACGCAAACAGTCTCGGCTGTCTCCGCTCTTATAGAACAACTCCTAGAAGTCAACATCGACGACAATCGTTCCACTTTGACGCGGCGCGGCGGAAGCCGCCCTCCTCCCCTCCCCACCTTTGGGATAACTTTCGAGCGTGCTGAAAGTATCTTCCTTTCCGTGAAAAAAAA